TTCCCGGCCCCAGGAATGCAGCGGCGGTGGCGGGCGGGGCCCTGCCTGGAGAGGGGGAGGGCGCGATCGCTGCGGGCCCTGTCTCTCAGCCTCAGCTGTTCCTCCCCTCGGGGTCGGCGCTGGGGATCCGGTGGGTGGCCGGCTGGAGCTGTCGGAAGCCTGAGCCCTTCGCTCCCACTCCCCGCAGCCCTGAGACCTCCCCATGAGGCGGCCTTTTCTACCCGCCAAGAGCTCGGGTTTGGGTTTCAAATCCTGATGCTGCCGCTCTCCCCGCTGTGTGGCCCTGGGCGAATCGCTTCACCTCTCTGGGCCTCCCTCATGCAGTGGAGGGGGTGACTTCAATCATGGGTGGAGCTGATTAATGGGAAGGACAGCCGCTCTTTTTCGTTACTCTCCCAAGGCTCCCCCAGCAGTTCCCTCTCCCCAGAGGTCAGAGGACCAGGGGAGGGAGCAGCAGCCACTAAAACCCATGTATCTCACGTGTACCAGGCCTGTGGCTGGTGCAGGGGCGCAACAGGGGAGACAAACACCCCTGTCGGGGTGGTGGAGGAAACTTACAGCAAATCATCTGCCATCTAGCAAGTGCTAGAGGCGTTCAGTGGGCAGAACGCTGCTTCCCTTCGGGTGATCTGGGAGACCCACTGCGAGGTGATAGGTGGGCAGAGGCCCACAGAAGAGGAGGCAGTGCCTTGTGGTGTCCAGGGTGAGGCTCTGAGTGCAGAGGGCCTGGGGCAAGGACCTGGGGGCTGGCCAGAGCCTGGGAGGGGGGATGGTGGTGGAGAGGCCAGAGTAAGGGTGGCCGACCGCAGTGGGGTCTGCCCACTGCTCTAAGGACTTGAGTTTTTTGAGGGCCATGGGAACTCCCCGGGGGCTTTGTGCAGAGGAGGGCTGGCATCTGACAAGGGTTGACTCTCAGGTGGCAGAGGAACAAGGGGCAGGGGGGCAGAATGTGGGGCCAGTTGGGGGATCAGGGAAAATCAGGGAGAGCCAGGGTGGCTCTTCCAGGGCTGGGGCAGAGCAGGGGAGAAGTGGCCTGTCCCATCCTAGATCCACTCTGAGCGGTAGAGCCAATGGATGTGATGTGTGCACGGAGTCAGGGTCAGCTCTGGGGATTCGGCCTCCCAGCCTGCAAGGACCCGGCTTCCCTGTGACCAGAGGAGGCCCCCCTGGAGGGCTCCCAGGCTTGGATTGTCAGCATGTCGATGGGACCAGTGAGCTTCCAGAGAGGAGAGAGCCTGGGGGTGGGGAAGCCAGAGGAGGGGTGTCCACGGGGGCAGAGGAGAGGCAACTGGTATAGGAGCCTGAAGCCTGTTCCGTGTGGGCTGGCTGAGCTCTTCGTTTGTGCCAAATGCTAGAGACCTCTTGGTGTAATCTCCCTGCCAAACCCATGGGCTCCATTCTACAGAGAAGGAGCCTAAAGCTCCGAGAGGTTAAGTTCTGCACCCAAGGTCACATGGCAAGGGGCAGAGGCAGGCATCAAATCCAGCTTCCTGGGGCCCTACAACAAGCTCTCACCCACAGAATCACGTGGCCAGGCAGGAGGCGGTCGTGCTTCCAGGACCACTCCATCAGGAGGACACCTGCAGGGGCTCTCCTCCCAGGGACTTGGGTTCAGAACTGGCAGAAAAGGCCGAGGGTGATGGACCTACTTGTAGATGGGCACCGGGAGCCCTGGGCAGGCCTGGGGGGTGCAGGTCATGGCGGGCAGGAGAAGCCAGGCCTTTGTGTTCCCTGTGTCAGGCATCCAGTTCAATTTGTGGAAAATCAACTGAGCCCCATTCCTCCCCTTTGAGGTTTTTATGGGTCCTGTTCCCAGGCCCCACGTCTTGGGCCTGAGGGAGAATCGAGTTATTTTGTGGGGTGAGGCCCCAAGGCCCCATCCAGGGTGTGCTGATGTCCTGGAACATCCTGGGGACGTGGGGCATCTTCTGAGGGGGTGATGGGGGGCAGCCTTTCCCTTCCCAGCCTGGACCACTCACCCAGGGTCCGTAGGCCCCCTCCCAACCTCTTCCCATCCCGGTTCCTCTCCTTTGGAAAAGACCACTCCTTTTCTCTAAAATGTGAATGGCTGCTGTGTGCCTTTAGGATTCGGATGAAATTCTTCTAGGTTTGATGGGACCCTATGAACCTGCGTCTTAGCGTCTGTACCTGCTCAGCCTCCTTTGCCCCCCAAATGTGGGCACCCCGCATTTCAGCCCTTGTGCGGGGCCTCCAAACCTTCATGCCCACACACCCCATCAGCCCAGAGTTTTGGATGCTGTACCACCCTGAAATGTGACAGTTCTAAATGATATGCCTCCTACTGAGGTGACTTGTACCTTGTAAAGCCAAATAAAATTAAACAAGATTTTAAAAACATATAAGTAGGTGCTTTAATATCTCCTTCCTACACCTCAACTCTTGCCCTGGAGACCTCCTAGTTTTACCTCCCTTACACTTGTGTAGAACTCCCCAGGTGTGCCCTGCCCCTCTAGGAGGCACCTCCACTGAGTGGATGCCTCACTGTGTCTACCCACCTCACCCAGAGGCTGCACATCTGCCTTGGCACTTCAGAATGCCACACTTGAGCAGGTCCTGGAGGCCCAGGGACCTCTCCCCAACCCCTGTCACTGCTGCCCCTCCTGGGACACCTGGGGTCTCTTTCTCCGGCCTAGTGGCTGGGGGAGGAGGGTCCAGAGAGTTAGGTGGGATGGGGAGACCCTGTAGAGAGAACTGGGAAGATCTTAGAAGTTAGGTCTATTGGTGGTCTGCGCTCTGCACCTCCTGGTGCCAGCTATGCTGGAGGGCTGGAATGTGTGTCTCATTCGCTACTACTCTCCCAAACCTACAATAGTTCCTGACCCTCATACACAGCAGGGCCATGATAACCACTCCCCCAAGGCAGAGTGGAGGTTCCAGGAAGCCCCTGCCAGGAGGGGGGACTGGGGCTTAGGCTCCTCTCTCTGCCTGCAGCTCCCTGGAGCCCATGTGCTGTGCTGGCTGGAAGCAGCAGGGGGACGAGTGTGGGATCGGTGAGTGGGACATCCTGGGGACCTGGGCAGTGGGGGTGGGGGCAGTGGGTGGGGGCTGGAGGCAGGGCAGCTCACGTCCCTTCTTGTCCGCAGCGGTGTGCGAAGGCAACTCCACGTGTTCGGAGAATGAAGTGTGCGTAAGGCCTGGCGAGTGCCGCTGCCGCCATGGCTACTTCGGTGCCAACTGCGACACCAGTGAGCGCTGGGCTGTGGGGCTGGATCCTAGAGAGCTGGGCGTGGCTTGTGAGAGGGGCGGGGTCTGATCCGGGAACCCGATCCAGCGTGAGAGCCCCGTTCCCCGAAGCCGGGGTGGGGAGTGGGTGGGGACTCTGGCCGGTTCAGGGTGAGCCCCAGGCTC